AAAAAAAAAACTAGATCTAGCTTAGTCTAAATAATTTACTAATAAATTAAAAGTAAAGAGACTCACTCTTCTCCTGAATTAGAAAATATAGTATCACAAAAATAGACCATCATAATTTTACAAAAGTCATGGATGTGCTACAAAGATTTTATTTAGTGAAGAATGAAGACATATTTATATTTTTTTACTGGAGCATTTCAGTAAATATAGTCAAAATCACAAAACACTGTATTTGCCAATCCACATTGATTACATTGATCGTATTTAATTTTTAAATGTAAGTGTTTTAATAATCTCATAATTACATGTCATTGGTCCCGTTAAATTCCTCTTATTGAGCGCCCGATTTATTTATAATCATGCTAAACATGAGATTAAATAGCTTTCAAATTGATACACCAAAACCTTCAATAACACTTCAAATGCTTTATTTGGTTTATTCAGACTCAGATTTGATTACATCAAGTGTCGTTCTGTTCATGTTCTGTTCGTCTTGACGCTTTAATTGAACTATATACTTGTCGAAATTAGGCCCATATGATACTAAATTTGAATTTGAAATGTATTTTTTGTTCAAAATGCATCGAGATGATAAGAATTTCTTGATGACATATTTATCTAGGTGGGAAATAAAAAGAAAATAATTGTAAGAGTGTGCTAGTTTTGTAAATAGCTATATTTATAGTGCCAAACTTGTGAACTTTAATTTAACTCGTGAATCACAGCGTTGACGAACAAATAATTATTTAACTGCAGGTATATTAGCTACATTGCTTATAAAGTTATTAATTCACATTCTTGTCCAAGTCAAAGTCAACTAACTAAAACAAACTATTTAATGCTCATAATTACCCCCAAGAAAGTGACGTTAATCACATTCTAATATTGGGAGAATATATTTCATCAACTAGAGTTACGTGCGGAATCCAATAAAATTACGCCGTGAAGGTGATCGGCCCGATAACACAGAAAAGATTTACTTCGTGTTATTTTGTGTTATCAGGTGTTATTGTATGTTATTCAGATGTTATTGTGTTCTGGGAATATTCCCGATGTTATAACAACACAATAACGCATCAATAATACTTGAATCACACAATAACACATGAATAACACAGAAGAAATATTCCCTTGTGTTACCAGGATTTTTTTTTCTACGTGACGTGATTTCATTGTATTACCAGGATTTTTTTTTCTACGTGACGTGATTTCATTGGACTTCGCACGTAACTGTACGTACAGAGTCCTGATGTAATATTTTTTTCATATTATTGGCATCATATAAAAAACCCTTGACAGTTGACCTTTGAAATAAAATAAATATTGTTGCTATTAATAGATAAATTTTTAATATTGCACATTATATGCAGTGATTTTTGCAGATACATTTTAGGTGAAACTTAGGTGATGATAATATAATCTAAATTTAATTATAAATTTGTAATTATTAAACTTATTTTAAAATTACTGATATATGTGATTATAATTTAGAAGTTGGATTATATTCATATTAAAATAAAATTGATGATTATAAAATTCACTTTGACCAATTTTAAGATAGAATAATATGATTTAAAATTGTTTTTTTATATTTTAGAAGTTGGATTATATTCATATTAAAATAAAATTGATGATTATCAATTTCATTTTGACCAGATTTAAGATACAATAATATGCTTTAAAATTGTTTTTTATGCGGATGAGATGTTGGACATTTTCTCCCGCACCAAAAAACTTCATGTTCAAAGTT